ATTTGAACCCGGGACCTCTCGCACCCTAAGCGAGAATCATACCCCTAGACCAACGAGCCACATGAGATGTAGAGACATATAAATAGAAGACAGTTAACTTTCATGTTACACTAACGATATACGTATACGTATTTATGTACGCATATATGTTATCTATGCCATAAACTGCGAGATAATGCTTCTTCTGTGCGTGGCATACGTGCAAGATGGCGGATTATGGTCAGCAAGACTTCAACAGAAGTGCATTGACGCTCAATAATGGACGGGTAATCGTTTTCGCTTTGCAATTTTAACAAAATTCTATCGATTCACGCGTCACGATAAACGTAGACTGATAACGAGAAATTGTACTTTTCGACTGCATTCTATTGCACTTTTCATTAATATAAAGTACAGCAAATGTGGTCAAACTTGAAGGAAAAAAGAAAGAATGAAGTGAAAGTGTAGAAAGTGCATGTGAAAAGAAAAATAAATATTTTATTTACATACTTGAGGAATGATAGCGATTGCTTTTTTCTTTTTTTTTTAACGTGATCTATCTATACGCAGAGCATATACTTACATTATATAAAAAAACATCGAAATTTTCTGTCATTTATGTTTTATTTATAGTATTGATTATCTTCGGGAAAAAATTTAATTGAAAAATAGTAGCAGCAATATTTTAATTTTCGATACATAAACGTTTCTGTAATAAAATCTTAAACTAGAATTAATTGTGACAATCGAAATGTTATAATAGGAATTTTAATCTTTCTATATACTTTATTTTTATTTATATTATTATTATTATTATTTAGGCTTGGTATACCGGCCAAAGAGCGGAAAAAGTTCCTAGTGGACTGGTAAGGCTCGTTGGTCAAAATTGTCTCGGCCTGGATCTTTCCTACAACGAACTGATTACCGTTTCTGGTATAAAGGATTTTAAACAACTGCAGGAATTAATCCTGGACAATAACAAGCTTGTAAATCTTAAAACACTGCCGTGCATACCGACTTTGACTACTCTGAGTTTGAATAATAATAAGGTTTGTTCTACTTACGAGCGTAGCGCAAAAATTAATAAAATCCTTATCTCTAGATGATCTAAAAGAAATGCACGAAAATTTAATGTTACTAAAAAAAGATTTCTTTCCTTTAATTTTGGCTTTGTCGTTAAAGATATTTTTATCACGAATCTTTTTCGCAAACATTTTTTAATGCTTAAAATTTATTTTATTTTTTCCTTTTGAAAATAATAATATTGAAGAAATTCTTTAAAGTCGTCTTATTTTTTCAGATATTTTTTTATATGAGAAAAACACGAGATCTGTTTTTAGATATCTAACATCGACAAAGCGCTCGACAGGGTACGCGAGTGCTGTCCCAACATAGAATATGTGAGCTTCCTGGGCAATCCTGGTTGTCCCGATCAACTGACCGATCCAACATCTACCGACGAGGATGATTATGAGCGTTACAGGCTTTACGCCATCCATACTTTACCTCCGAGTCTTCGCTTCTTGGATTCCCGAAGAGTTACTCAGCAGGAGAAACTAGACGCTAAGGCTCGTGGCAAATATTCCAGAACGATTAAATTCGTGCCGGAACTGATTCGCAAGTTCGCACCTAACTCGACGCCTATCAGCAACGAGTTCGACGACATATATTTCAATATTCATTACACGCCCTTGCCGAGCTCGCTGCGCAGTCCTCAGGATCACAGAGGTGCGTATAAACAGATCAAATCACAAATTAAATTATTTTGGATTCTTTTGAAAGAAATATTTTTGATGAATAGCAACATTAAGCTTTCAAAATTGTCAATTCAAGCTCACATAATATGATAAATGCAATAATCGATACTGGATCAATTTCTGCTAGGTGCGTACGGCAAATGCAAGTATCGGTATTCTGGCAAGAATTCAGAGGGCAATCGATTTATCTCGAACAACGATCTGTAATCAAGATGAACATGAATATTTTGAAGCGTGGCCTTAAAAAGTCAACAAAATAATTTTTCTAGTCAAGTACGATTGATATTAACAGAAAACTATCAATTAGCAGCGCGAAATATCTGTCAGATTTCTATGAGCTGTTATTAAAATCCATTACATATTGATGTGCGATTAGTATTATCGATATGATGGTAAAAATATATTCAAGACTTGTATTATGATAATAATTTCCCTTCGATGCCAACAATTTTTAATGGCAATTTAAGTGTTCACTCTAGAAAGGCTGCATCTATGTAAATAAATAAGTAAACTTACAATTAAATTACAGTACAATAATCGTGCTTCTTTTCAAAGCATCTGAGTCTATTTGAGGTTTATATTTTTATCATACGAAACGTACGAGTAAACGTATAAAATTTTTATTATCATGTACACCGACGAGCGACATATAAATAGATGTCTGATTCTCTAAAAGTTTTAACATTACATTCCGTAACATTAAGTGCTAACTGGACTAACGTATCTAAAGTAACTTGGAGAATTTATCGAGATTGAAAACGCAACGGATTATCGTAGTAAAATCTTCGACTTTTTACCGCTATTGGTCCGTAAATTGCGCACGACGTATAATTATCGCGACGGCACTAAATTCAATATTTTGAGAAATGTCGAAGTTTTAGATATATATAGCTGTATATATCTTAGAAAATTCGTGTTAATTAATTTAACACGCACATATCGGCCCTGCGAAAAATGTGTCAGTTGAAAAGAATTCGTAAAAACCGACATTATGAACTCATCTTCGAAATCGGAGTTTGCCTCTACAATTTTAATTCTTAATTCTCTTTGATTCTTAACTTCTTTATTCCTATTTGTGTTCTATCAATCAAATCTCACAGGACAAATCAAATTAATTATTCTTTTTCAGAAAATTAAATTAAATTTTCTTGTTCCGATTTAAATTGTTATTTTTAATTGATGATTTATGAGAGATAAAGAAAAATAAGAAGAAAAGAGAGAGAAATTAAAATATTTTTAAGCTAATTCCAAAGATCAATCCATTGTCTTCAACGTACGTTACACGTTGAGATTAGCAATCTACTTGTAACACATATTTTACAGCTTCCTTTCGTTAACCCTGTTTGTAGGAAGAGAGAGTCTTATAGCGAATTATACGCAACAACTTATTATTACACTCGCAAATATAATAAATCAATTAAGTACGAACATATCAGTTCAGCCTTCCTTTGATTTATCCTGGAACACTCTAGAGTCTTCGACCTATATTAATATAATACGATTCAATAGTATATTTAACGCTAAATATGAACAGCCACATTTAACGCTAAACGCACGACGTAAACGAATCACCGCGTGAACGCATTTCGCACTAAACGCGCGCCGCAAATACGAGCCTTTTTTTGCGATCACTTTAAAATTCCCGAAAGAAAGCTTTTCGGAAATATAACTATAAATGGACGAATTTCTTTCAGGAATTTCTGCAGCGATAAATTCAATAATTGCACGTGTATACGTATACGTATAAATATAACATCTATGAGAATACATTCGTTTAAAACGAGGAAAGAAAGCGGTGATATTTAAATTCCTTAAATACACCGTTCCTTCGCTTGTTTACTCGCTCGCTCAGGAGACTCGCTATATTGTACACACTGGAAGCATCTTTCTCTCCAAGAAAGGAAAGTGTTCACAACGTTGTTCAAACGTTCCAAACGCTGAATCTTTTATTTATTTTTCTCTTATTTGGTTTAATAAATAAGAAAGGGAAGTGAATGGATGAAGATAGCGTATCATATTTTTATGAAAGACTCGAGTTCTCTATTATATAAAGTATTATTTTGATTGTACAATTTATTATTTTTTAAGAGAGAATGTTTTGTCCCTCTTTAAAATTGACAAACGACATGATATTAAAATTCTAATCAATAATCTTAATATGTAAAAATCTAACGCAAATCCTTCATTCATTCACTTTTTTTGAGCATATCTTTTTGTAAATTTTTAAAAATTGTTATATCGTCAGATTAATTTTTGAACATTTTTATTTGTGAGGTAGAACTTTGTGAAATTTCCAAATATAATTCAACGTTTGGAACTCGGCGAGATCTTATTTGTGCCGTTTGTAATTCGTTTGTTCGCGAATAGCGAAGAACCTACACACGTACTTATACATGTGGATGCTGATCAAGTAATCATCTCGCCAGCTGTTTGGACGGATGTACTTTTGCTCTTAATCCTGTGTTTCAGGCGTTTTTATAATCTAATAATATTTTTTTCAAGAATATCGTCGATGTTTTATTATAATATTGCACGAATTTTTTACTGCGTGCACACACAGCTTGCATATTCCTCCCGACTTTCATTATTTCTTGAGAAAGTAATAACGAATAATAGCGAAAAACAATATACAGTAGCTTTAAAAAAGAAACAAATAAAATATTTCACTATAACTCTAATAATGATTTTAATTGTGAAAAATACAGTTGCTAAGAACATAAAATAAATGATATCTTTCATTTCAATTTATATTTTTCAGAATTGCAATAAAAATGAAAAGAAATGTGAGCTATACTTAGTAATATACTTTTTTACTTGTAAATTTGCGGCATAAATTCGCCACAATTTTTATTAATATTTGGCACGTCAATTATATTAATATTGCTGCCTTGAATCCCAGCTTTGCATAAGATATATAATAATAAAAAAGCAATCAGAATATAACGAAAAAATTCATCATAAAATTAAAAATTTTTATAATTTGCTTTTAAAGGAAAAATATTTTATTTATATCAAATTTTATTTCAAATAAAATATTTTTGAAATAATATTTGTATAATTTTATATTTTTACGAAGAGTGGAATTCATTTATCTTTGCAAATGTTACGATGTGCTCTCTCTATCTTCTAAATTATCTACTCTTATCACCATTTTAATAACAAAATTATTGATAAAAGCAACCAAATTTTAATTTTTATTAAAATTTTAATCGTTATATTTTCTATTTTTATTTTAGAGAAATCAAAACAGCAAAATCGAGAAAAATAATAAAATAAAACTAGGAAAGCAAGCATTTTGTGCAACCCGTTCAGTAGAAGTTACAAAAAGTTGAATATATTATAGAATTTTTATATAGAGATATCTGAAAGAAAAGTGATTTATACATACCATTTAGAAATTGACAATGCAATATACACATAAAAGTGTTAAAAAGTTAAAAAAACCGAAAGAATTTAATGCATAGAATTATTATACAGTGTGAAAGGACTCAGAACCGGCAGTATATTTCTTCAGTCCCAGGCTAAAAATAGGCGGTTTTCGCAGCGGACTGGGAAGTTTGCAGGGAATATTCGTCTATGCCCGTTCATAGGAAAATCAGACGAGTCTAGTTGCTCCCAAAGGCACTCATTTTCGTTCGCGAGTAATCAGGATACGTTCGTCACACGACGCTTCTATGTACAATCAATACTTCGACTAAAAATCGGCTTCCGAACCGTTCCTCTCTCGAAAACAAAGATCGGAAAGAATGAAAATGACGTTATCGCGTCTTCTCTCGCGCTGCTGCTTTTACGAGCTGTTATTCTTCCCATGATTGTGCAAGTTCGGCCTCAACGTCACCGCACCTTCGACCCAGAAGTTTGGTCTTTCGAGCATATTCTGCCATAATGACAGCTCGCGACCGGTTGCGTCCATCCAGTCTACTGATTTTCCATAATGCTTTCCTGAAATCAAGATTTGCGCGCCATTGTTGAAAGCTATAAAAAAGAATATTTATAAAATATAGCAAATTCAATGACATTTTATAACTGATTAAATCCTTTGGTCAAATTTCTTTTTTTTTTTTAGAAAGTTATTATTTATCAATTGTGATAAGAAATCGTGCCGATCAGTTCAATTTGGTAAGTAAAAAATTAAATAATCTAAAGATAATTTATTTAGATTGTATCGTATGAATTTTTGTGTATATACCGGTGCCGAGGTTGAATCGAACGCCGCCGAGGAATTCGTTGCTGGCAATTCGATCATGGTCCCAAACTGTCAACTCTAATCCGCGCTCCGCTAACTCCTGCAAACTGACGTCTTTATATATGAACGTGTGGCCCCAAACTGGTGAACCGCCTGATCTACGAACAACGCCGGTCTTCTGCTTGCCGGACCGGCCTTTATCGGGAAGCAAATAGCTGAAAAGGATTGTGTAGGAATTTAAAGAAACATCCTGAATGTCAAAAATAAATTATAAAATATTACAAAGTTAGAAATTTATAAATTATATCGACTCTTATTCATTTCATACATTTTATAATAATTTTCGGATATTTCTGATTCCGTAAATTTCATGTATTTTAAGATACGCTTAGGAAGAATATTGATACTGAAAATTGGACAGTACCTTTTGCAGAAGGGATCACAGGTGCCCGAGTTCTTGCCGCGCGTCTGCAGGTTTCTAGCTTCCTTGACGAGCACGTGAAGCGCGCCGCGGCTCCAGTTCTTTTTTGCCTTAGAACTGCCACGTTCCGCGCCGCTTTCCCGATCGCGTTCTTGTTGCGTCGGATCCGGTGGCACAAATTTCAGTCCGACGATCACCTCGCCCTTGTATGCGACCGGATCATCGAATGGTTCCGTCTGGGAGCGATTGTTACAATATAGTACAGTAGCTTGTAACTTTTCTTTCTTTAAAACAGCACGAAAATTTTGGAAAACTTATACGAATCAGGTTTTAAGATTTCACCCTTGAAAGCGATTCTCTATGAGACTCTTCGGTGAAATTATTAGAATTATCTCTGTATTGAATTAGTTTTAAATATCTATGAAAACTTTTAAATAAAATTAAAATAATAAATTAATATTTTATGTGATTTATTTTGAATCATATGTTTTATTTGATATTTTCTAGTTAAAAAAATAAAGATTTTCTCCAATACTATATATAAATTATATCTGTGCTTATATATAAATATAAAGGTACATTATACATTCGCATGCGCTCGTATTGGAACACATTGAAGCATTAAAATTAGAAGCTCTGAGAGTTGCAGCCCGCGTTTCTATCGGCGGAAACAAATCACGATTCGTTCCGCTAAATGCACAATGACGCAATCTGCTAAATGCACAATTATGCAATCCACGGAATGCAGTGACATTCAAGAAACTTACTCACTCCAAGACGGTCGACGCCTCTAACTTTGAAACTTCAAAATGCTTTCTCGTCAATTTCTCGACGAGAAAACTCGACTTTGCGGTTTTTCAATGATATTCTACAAATAATTTGATTGTCGTCGGCAATAAACTTACCCTCTCTTGAAGGGGATACCAGTGTGGCGTTGGGTCGTCGAATATCTTGTTCTCCAAGGGCATTCGCACTTCACCGAGGAAGTCGTTGCGGCCGAACATGTCCGAGTGCCAAACCGTCAGCCATAATGTTCTCGTCTCCAGACCGCTCAGGTTCATATGGAACTAAAACCGCGCGATGACGCAACCACCGAATCTCTAATTGTCATGCAAACGAGCAGCGGACATTCGAGCAAACTTACATGGAATAACTTACCTTTAGTGTCTCGTTGAATTCGGGATTCAACGTGTGCTTCTTCACCTTCGTCTTCCTCTTGCCGCTCTTTGATTTGTCCGGCAACAGATATACCTTGACGTACCTAGATAGTAAAATTATAAAACCTTAAATTTTACGTTCTTATAAAAACAAAAACGATATTTTTGTATAAAAAAGAATTAAAAAGAAGATTGTAATAAATTTAGCATGAAATTATAGTGTAAATTTTTCATTCTTTAATGCAATCTTTTAATTGTAATTAAAAAAATTACGTTAAGAAATATATGTATATAAAAGTCGATCTATAATAAACGATCAATGTTAAATAATATAACGAGATTTCACTTTTAAAACGTCATTCAATTTAAATACGTTAAATAAAAAATGTATGTTAACAGAGCTATATAAATGGAACTTACGGATCCGATCGTTTGCGCTTCACGTCTACAGGTGCGAGGTTTTTGCACTTGGTCACGTGCACTTCGAACGTCAGGTTCTTGTAATCGTACTGTAAGGCGAACTCCACCTCACCTGTGACGACCACAGATCGGCAGCAACGTCCCTCGCCCGCACCGCTGTACACCGATGCCATCGAGTCCGAACGTGCCTGGAATTGCAGTCGCGACCATTAGCGTCGTCAAGATTTTAATACGACGAGATATTTCATTCACCTGTTTTTTCTTTATTCCGTTCCGTTTTGTGAGTATAAGCGAGATATAACGTTACAATTCGGTTCGTTAAATTGCAATGATAGCAGTTTCTTTCGAAAGTTGAAACGCGCGATGTATTTAAGCGCACACTCGAGCCACAAACTGATATTCGCCTATTTTGACAATAACTTTTAGCTTTGTTCTTTCTTCGTAAAAAGAATGAAAACGAAATTTATTATTTCGCCGTGAATAGCAAATTTTAATAAATTGCACTCACCCCGAGACTCGACAGAGACGAACGAGTAGCGAGATGGCCCGGATCCATATCGTCCATGTCTATAACTGTGTGACTAGAGCCTGCTCGTGATCCTGCTCCGATAATCGGCGTGCTGCACGCCTCTGACAAACTGCTTCCATCGTCTGCGACATCACAAAGAAATTGTATTATTCAAAATGACTCAGATTTCAATGTCCGCTTATGAATAAGTGCGATAACAAAGATACACATTTTCCAGAATTTTTGTTTCGAAATAAAATCAATTTTATATATATATATATATATATATTTGTTTTAAATTTACACACACACATTCACACGAAATTAATACTAAAACAAAAAAAAAATGATCCTTTTAACCCTTTTAATCCCTTTTGAAATTTTAACATAAATCGATAGATTTCTCTCGACATCACCGAGTTTTATTTGTAACATTAACATTAACCAATATTTTTCTAAAACGATACAATATTCTTTAGCTTCAATTACTTAAATCATTTTTTCGACTAACTTGCTATCAATCGAGAAATAGTTGTCATAGACACTTTCTGACGTTTGTATTGCTTCGAGCATTTGGCGAAGATATTCGCGGGATATATTATAGCCGAATCGCTCTGCGAAGCTTTTTTTCCATCGTCAATCGGTGGCGATGCCTGATCTTTCTTCGAAAGCGCCGGCATACTGCTAATCATGTGCTTTATCCCGCTATTCCAAGTTCCGCTGTCGGACGAGAACTTGTTCTTAATATCGATCATTGAAAAATCGTCGTTGCGGTTTATCGACGATCTCTCCTTATTCTTGGCAATATTCTGCGTCTTGCTCTTCGACATTCCGTAGTCGTGTTTCGTCGTAGAAGTTTCATCACTCGAGCATTTACCGTTGTCTTGCAACTTCGTAAGACTGATCGTTGAAGTTTGCAATTCGATAACAGGCTCTAGGATCGTCCTATCCGTCTCGTTCGTGCAATTCGGTCTCGATGTCGAAACGATTTTCTGCCTGGTGCAACAAAAACCGCAACAGTATTCCAGCAGCCAATTCGAAGTAAAATTTCGCGTCATTTTTCTGACAGTCCAGGAGCCACGAATAGGCGGCTCCTTGAAAACTGAATAATGAGCACTGTTCATTATCTTGTTGACTTTAGTTTGAATTTCTGGAAACTTTTTTCGCAATTAGCTAATTATTCGTGCCATTTTTCCGTCGATCCATATTTCGAAGCGAGTAACAATCGGTGAATCAATAGAAAATATATTCTCACCAAATAAAACGTAAATAGAAACATTTTTGTCGGTATATTTCTTATTCCGTATTTAAAAAGCAAGATATTATCTTGAAAGATTTGGCACTGATTGCAACAACAACATCTTCAGCAAATAAATTTCATATTTGCTGATTTTATGTAATAATTAGCAAAAGAACTCCGAATAAGACGCAACGCGGAGCAAAGCGTTCGCTGTACTGATGGATTCGTTTGTTTGATTATTCGTCCTTTTGCTAAACGGAACAGCGGCAACGATAATACTGATTTTTGTTTCCTGCTTTCCAAGAATAGCGCGCTAACACAGCTTCCACGTTCAAGGTCTAACATCTGGAGCACTTCGATAGCGAGTGATACGATAATTATATGCGACGAAGTTTCCATGTATGAAACAGCGTCATTTCAATAGCAATTTTTCTAATTTTTTAAAAATCTTTAACGTCGAAAATAATATCTCAAACTTTAGTTTATTTTTCATTAATATTTTACATTCTATTATTATATTACAACAACAATTTCTACGTTTCTCATAACCTGCAAGGCATTTATTGGAAAGAGCAATCGAGAAAGGCTCGAATAACTTAGCAAATCAAATAGAAAGTAAAAGGACGACCGAGCGAACGCAAAGTAAAAGTGCGAATAACAACAGTGTCACATGTTAAAAGAAATGTTTACACATGCTTCGACATTGATTTCCCGAAAATGACGCGAAATTAAATAATACGATTGCAAAATCAAATCGACTACGTGCGTATTTGTATTTTTCATGCCATCAAAATTTCTCGTTTTCCTTTTACTCATTAGAAAGTGCAGCACACGCGGAGATATGCAATTTTTTATATATATTGCATGTCGCCATTTCCAAGAAAAAAAAAAATTATAAAAGATAAGTAACCTGAATGTGCCATCCGAGCGAATGTCACGAAAGTAGCGACACCACTTTCCTCTTTCGCATTCGTATGCGGGATAATTGTAATCATGTGCTGTTGTATTGCGCCGACTAACGTCGAAGCAACGAGCAATTAAAGTTAGATAACGCTATTCGCTACAACTATGCGACAGTGACCGTTTCGCAACGCGTCCTAATCGCGCCAGATAACATCCTCGACGGTGTAGTCGGATACGCGTGAATCGGTTTGACACTTTTGTGAACGGGTTTAGGCGAATGTGTGTCAAGGTGAGTGTATCGAGATACCTCCGCGTTTTGCCTGAGAAAAATAACTTTCATGAACACATGCAGCGGCGCTCTCTTAATCCGCGATATCATCGGAGCCTCCGTTGCGCCAATACAATGCAAGTGCAGCTGATAAATAACTTTCTTTGTCTGTTTTAATGTAAATGTTATAATGGTTATAAACTAATATACGATAACCTTCGCACGAATAACCGGCTATTGGCTCTTTACGCTCCTTTCGAATATTATTGATTTTAACAATCACCAGAGCCTGATACATCTATAATTTTTAACTTTCTTTGTTTTCGTCTCTATCGCATTGCGTTGTTACACATTCTGTTCTAGATTTTTCGATAAATTTTGTTCCAATTAATTTTCTACTCCAGACAAAATTCCTATTCTAGATGAGCTTATCGATATATTTTATGTCTGATAATTAAATCTGTTACAGATTTTATCATTAAAATTAAGACCAAGTGTCTTAAAAATTCTATTTCTGCATCATATCTCTCATTTTTCACGATACTAAGCGGAAAAAGTCAATTAGATTTGATCTTGCGAGGCGCGAATAATTACGCGTCTGTATTTTGTTATGAATGTTGTCTTGAATTTGATTCTCCGTGGATTTCGTCTCGATTCCCTCGGTTCCCAGCGCGAGAAAAACGTAACAAGCGAGTTATTTAAGTGAACCTTATACGTACACGCAGTTGAATTGTGTATCCGGGACATAATACTACGTACCGAGAGCGTAGGCGAAAGTTCTAGCGTGTCTCGCTTGACACGAGAACCTCGTTTTCAGTCTCAGCGGCCGATAAGTGAATTATTCCTCACCCGTAAATACGGTGAAAATTTCGAAAGAGATTGTATAATAGAAAAAAAAAATTAAATCAAAAGGAAAAGAATTACGCACATATGTGCGCTGTAATTAAATGTTTAAAATTCTGTATACTTATTTCCGTAGTCCACTAATTTCAGCAGCAATTAAATTTCTATCGCCACAAAACCATATTTTCAATACTTTGCAAACTTCATTTTTTACTTGAACTCTCTTGTGGAAAACACTTATATGCATTCGGCACACAGCCGTCACTTCCGCTTTACTTGCATTATATTCTTACACGACCGATCCCACTGCGTTTACCTTTCTTTTAGAAAACGCTATTGCGTATCCGTGGGTAATTAAATTACTCACTACCGGAATTATTCTAGCACCGTGGAGGAGAATATACGCAGGTCGTTGTATGTTTCACCGCGAGCGCGGCAACTCGCACGCGCAATTATCGAATTACTCTATCGAAACATGGATACCGCCATAATAAATACTGGTAATATAATAGAAGTTATTTTTCAACGTAACGTTTTTACGCAACGCAATACGAGTCCTGATATAATATCGCATTATGAGTCTTATTAATTCAAAATTATTTTTATAAACTTAATTAAAGTTTCAGAGGCTATAATTTATTTTTAAATATTCCTGCGTGCTGCATTAGATTTTTTAAATAAAAGAACACATCCGGAAACAGCGCTTAAATAAATAGTGAACGTCGAAGTCTCTTCTTTACTCAAAATCACGCGAGAGAAGAATTGGACGCGGAAAATAGTGATTAAAAGATTAATCACACTACTTGTACAATTAATGTCTTTTTCTACCGTGCTGGCCAGAGTGCAATTTATCTGTAAAATTTCATGAATCAGTCGATACGGATTGCAGTGATAGAAATCTGAAGGATGTGCGGTGCAGAAGCGTGACATCGTGCTTCACGGTTGTCAGCGGAGAACCGTTCCACCAATCGTGCAAAAAGCTCGACACGCATTCCAAAACTCGCACCAGTGACGGTTCGACAACATTCTTGACTTTCCTAACACCATGATCTGTTTCGCTATTCGTTCATTCTTTAAAAGAGTTTACTTTTTCAGGAATTCTTTTATATGTGCTTCTCGATACTACATAAATAAAATTTTCAAAAAACAAAATATACTGAAAACCTTTTACGAACTCAACAGATGTTCTAGCATAAGTTAAACATTTACCAGATTATTTAATTACAATATATTGTTGAAATATATCGAAATAGATATTCTAAATGTATTTACTGTTTCGACGGAGAACTCCGTTACTCGAAAGGGATAAAATAAGACGCCAGCTCTCTCGAATATCTAGCATTGCTGGCGATGCAAAACAGTGATTAAGAGTCGCATTAGTTTCTTATTCGCAGAAAAAACCGGTTTGGCTTAGGACAGTAACGATGACTGCTGGCGAACATAACATACTACGAAACCTACGATGTCGAACGTAAACCTGTCACTGACCGATCTCTAACGAGCAAAAAAGAACAAACGAGTTTGTGCGAACGAATACGGAGTTCCGCGACTCGGAAGTCGCAAACGTGCAGTGCATATAATGCTGCGAACGTGCTGCAAAACGCATACGGTATTATTACGATATCGTATTGACGTAAATACAAGGTGTGTCGGGTGATAATTTCTAAAATAAATCTTCCAAAACATCTCATTTACGAGAGAAACGCATAAAATTTGTTACAAATGGAAAAAATATATTGTTAATTTTTTATATGCGTAAATGAAGAAATCTCTAATTCCGTAGTTAGATAATAATCTAATTAACCTTGAAATTATAAGAAAATTAAGAATAAATCATCGAAGAGAATTCTGAAATTTCTAAAAATGCTTTTACATCAATCGATTTAATCAGAATGCATTCTTTAGTCGAGTTTAAGCTCGACTTTGCCCCAGTGAACGTTGAATCGATTAAAGAGCGAGTCTAGAAATTTAAAACCGCATAATAAAGATATAATAAAAGTAAAATAAATAAAGATTTCATTTAATATTAAATAAATTTATAAAAAATCTATTTTAGACCTTTAATTCTAGTTTACAAAGATTTTACTCACATAGAGGAGTGATGTTCAGTAATCAAATTTTGCCTGAGATTTCATCCCCGTGCTACGAATTATAGGGTGTTTACCTCCGTTATCGATCCGCGGAAGGCGCAGCTAAAAATGGGAGTGGCGAGACCCTTAATTTCATTAGGCACTGTCCACGAACGAGTTCAATTTTGTCGGGAGAAATATTAATCTTGTGTGATTAAAATAAATGGAACTGACTGCGAGTTTAAAATGATGACGTCAGCTGTATATACAACAATTATTATCGTTTCAAAAAATATAACATTGTTGAAGAGAAATTAATCTTCCTTTATTACAAAAGTGTTTAATTTCTCAACAAGAAAAGCATCGATTTGTAACGATCGCTTTTAGAGGGATTTTTAAATTTGCAACTAGTTCTTTGTGATTGCTACATTCTTCACTGCAATAGCCTATTACATAGGCGGGAAACATGGCGAGATCATTATCGAAAGGTATTTACGTTCACAAGTAGATTAGGTCAATGCTCGGCGAGCATTGCGACACACACCGCCGATCGATAAGTTGACAAAATATATAGTAGCACACGAAATTGTCGGAGCAGTTTTATCAGATTTATAAGCGTACACACAAATATCCTCGAAAAATATACATGCAAATAATAAAAGAGCTGAATGTATATCAGCCGAAGACATCAATTTCAATGCTATGCTCGCGCGAGGGTTGCATTACGCGAATTAAACACGTGAAAAATACAACGGTACGCACACGCGTATCGTGCGCACGGTATGCGAGAGGTCGATGCGTGGCTTTATCGATTGTACACGAGCGAATGCCTGCGGGAGGTCCGCCGGGGATGCCGGAGAAAAGAAGGGAAACCTCGTAATAAAGCAGTTGCACCTGTTACACTCGAGCGAGCATCTAAACGCGCGCGCCGCATTATCAATGCGCGCGTTCTACTTGTCGCGGATAAAAGTGCACGCCGCTCGCCGTAGAAACGAGCGCGGTTTTCCGCTTTTCACGGAGAAGAAAAAAAAAATTAGGAAAACATCTTCATAAATCAGAAACGAAAGAATGTGAGTCCGAGAAATTTATCTCCTTCGAAAGAGGAATCTGCGAATGTACAAAATCATAGATGCACGCTTTCACGAGATAGATTTCATAAATAAATATGGATAATTCAATTAAATTGAATTGAAGCTTGCATGTTAAATTAAAAGAGATCGTTAATTTTCACTTGAAGAGTATTTATTTTCGAGTAAGGCCTATGAATACTTTTGATAGAGTTTTGATATTGAATTATAGCTCTTTCTTTACAATTATAAAACATAAACTTATGACGTTATTTTTTAATAATTATCTATTTGAAAGTTTCGATTCAATTTTGCCTTATTTTATATAATTTGCATTTTCGAATGCAATAAAATAAAAATGTTGAAACTGACAGTTTTGAATTTATAATTTCCGTTTTTTGCCTACAGATTTATCATATTTAAAAAGAGAACTCGCTTTTTAAAGTTTTCCCTTGAGACCATCCATTGATTTTTTAGTTTACCTTCGATACACATTTTCTAGCGTGCGGTGTCCAGTTCTATTTACTCTGTTATGGGATATGTATATATAGTTTATTATTGGAAGGGTAAAAGGTTGTATGTCACAACTAAACCTTTTAGTCGAGTAGAAAAACACTTCGTGCTCGGAGCTTCGCAGAGTACATGATGTAATGAATAATCCTGACATAATCATAATTGAATTAAATCGCCTGAACCAGAGAAAAGGCAAATGTAACGAAGATGTAAGGATGTATCGTAGTTAGCTCAGACTTATTACGCCAAATTTCACGCCATGAGTAGCACGCTTTCGCAACGTTCGTCCTGCTTTTCGCAATGTTTATGCCTTCAGAAAAGAAGACAAAAGAATGTATTACTGCTCGCGTTACTCATGTTTATAGAAAAACATCACGCCTCGCACTCGCACGGAATAAGCACACACGAGCGAAGTATCTCACGATAAAATTATTCAATTGTAGCTTCTTAAAGTGATAAGCATCAGTTTTTTAAATTTACTAGAAACGCCTAGTTGAGCTTAATCTGTCGTTAAGATTTACTTTCGGTAATCTTGAAGCATTCTGGACAAAATGCTCATTTAATAGAGAGTACTTAAAGCATAAACATAAAACGTTAATTTGCTCGACTCTTCATAAAATTTAAACTACAATTATTATCTATAATAAATCTCATCAAATATACTTTGATATATCTAATAATCTAAAGTTGCGTAATTTTTCGTAAAAAAAGATGATGATTATTCGTTTAAATCTGAACTATAAGTTGATTGGAGGAAAATAAGGATTAAGATTGTTGGAGAAATTAGCAATTCGCATTTTAAGTGTTGCTGTAAAATTTTTGTTCTTTACGATCCTCGACGAATTCTCCGAGAATGGTTTCTCTCGCTCGCGTTTTTTCTTTACGACGACGCTTGCTGTAATTTCATATTTGCGCTTAATCATTTGCATGGCGCGCGCCACGTGTGCGTGACGATGCGGTGGCTGTCTAATTTATCACACGGAATCACACGTACCGTCGACCGAATTTCCTTTCATCCACGCGCTTTCTCCCGTCGTTCAAAACGCGCCTACAGATTTTAGCGTGAAAGATATCTCCATCTTTTTACTTTACACGATAGAAATATTTAAAAGTGTGGTGTAACATAAAAATTACACTGCGTTTTATTTGTCCTTGTTAAAAAAGTACGCTTAAACTTATCAACTGATTAAATCAACAAATTAAATGTCAATAATTGCTCGTGCTTACACTATGCCACTAAGGTCTCTACAGGATGCATCAAAAGTCGCACACTTTCTCTCATTGTGAAAAGAAACAGACTCTTCATCGAAGTTACAAGACCATTTTCCATCAGTTTTGTGAGAAAGTTTATAGGAATTTTACCGCAGAGATTATTTAACTAATAAAAAAAAAGTATTTATTATAACAAATATAAAAATGTTCGCAAACGATCTTTAAATATTACAATTTTTCTCGTCATTTATATATATTTTTTCAAAGGTAATTTTGTACAAAACAAAAAAATATGACATCCTCTAAATAATAAATACAATATAAAATAAAACCTTGGGAATAATTGGTCAAAAAATCCACAATTAGAAAGACTTGACTTTTGATGCAATCTGGCCGTTTTAAAAAAAAAAGAAATAACTTACCCGACGTTAGCGACATCGCCTGCTGCCTCCTCGACCTGGAATTGTCCCGTTTGCTGGCGGCTGATTGCGAGCCGGAAACTTGAAGACCCGGTGCGCTAACGGCACGCTTGGGTCCACCGCCGATCGTACTGGGACCGACGTTGCTGTTCCTAGCGAAGCCGGGCGGCCGATACCGGGCGGACTTGACGCCGCTGTGCTGCGGCAGGAAGTGGTAAACGCTGTGCGCCTTGTGCATCGGCGACGACGTCGACGCCGACGAAGAGGACGTCGTCGTCGTCAAGCTGGTCGGCGCGCCCGACGCGGGCAGCCGCGGCAGGGAATTAGTGGCCGCACTGATAGCGGACTGCATGCCACGTGGAAGAGTCGTCGCACGTGACTCGCCGCCGTATTCCAGTTCATCCTCGGTGTCCTCGTCGCCGGCTGATGCGCCTGGAATGATTAACAGTCGATTTTTTTTTTCCTTCGTCAGACAACGTTGACGTTGATGTGCACGGAAGCGCAGTGAGCAATATCATCTTGTAACGGAGATAAATGATCTATAATTTGCAAAGTTCATTTTAGATACAATTTATCTGCCGTATTAGGTATGCAATCATATGTCTAATAATATGTACTGACATATCCTTTTACTATTTGCGTACAATGCCATCAATTTTATTGGCCTGCTAGGAAATACTCTTTGTTGGCGTTCGACATGCATGTGCAGCCACGTAGACATTATTCATTCATAAATATCATGTATTCATAAGTTGTCATTTATTCATGATTACGATGACGAAATCTGAGAAAAACGATTCTGTAGAAAAGAAGCAGTCAAGCGTTTAATCATTTTCTTCTCGTTTTCTATGTATATTGAAAGAATTTTCTACGTACATTAAATATTCCGAACAAAAATTGAGTTAATTTTATTCGATTCGATTATCTTCACTCGTAAGCGATTTGTAAACTTCATTAATTTATGTACAATAAGATAATAATTTTACATTGAAAAAAATATTACGGTTTTAAATCAAATTTTCTGATTTTTTTATTCACAAAAATGGTAATAATTTAATTTGAGTAAAAGCGCGTAAAATATTTGAAAAATATAATCGTGACTTTCATTCGTTTTGTTAGATGTGAATTTTTTTCATGTAATTTCACCATTCAGCGCGAACTCATTTTTACTTATTGTAAGGCTAACTAAAATTGCAATTGCGTGCGCGGCGTAAAGTACACACGGCGCGGAGTTGCTTTCACGCTTGCTAATTCCGACTTAATTCGCCAATAAAAATACAATTAAATTAAAGCCGCTGCGTGCGCACGTTCACATATTCATTCCACATAAAATATCACCCCATTATCAAAACTGATCCGACCATAGCGGCCACCGTGCTCAGTCGCGCTGCGGCACGTAATTGCAAGAAAAAAAAAAAAAAAAAAAATGCTCGAAAAACCCGCGTGATTGCCCGCGAGTCGACGAGGCAAATTCCAGCTGTAACGCCAATTACCGCCGTTTCCGCGATGTAATACGATTCGCGGGGGATTCACTCCGCGTGGAGAAACACACGAGGAATCGCGTAGAAACATAGAAACGGTCACGCTCGGGCTCACCTGACTCTCCTCTGGTGTTGGCATCGGGAACGGAGGATCTCCGCTGGTTACTCCAGATCCTCTCCTCGGCGGAGCCACCGCCGGCACCGCCAGCGCCGCCGCCACTTCCGCCGCCGATGGAGCCGCAGCTTCTCACCCTGTCCAGCTGCTCCCTGGAGAAGCTCTTCGGATTGAAGAGCAGATCGCCGGCGCTGCGACGCTTCGCCGCCAGAGCACTCGCACTCGCACTAGCACTGCCACCACCACTGACGTCACCCGAACACGCCAACAAGCTCAGCTTCGTCCTCGAGTCGGCGGCCATGAGCGCGGACTCGAAGCTACCGCGCCAGGAGAATCTCTCGTAGTCGCTGGCCTCCCGCTCCTCCCCTTCCTGGCCGGTGGACGCCGTCGGATGGCTGTTGATCAACAGCAAAGGATCGTGCGATTTCGATCTCGGCAGCTGCAGATGCGCCGATGACGGCGCGTTGGTGGAATCGGACGTCGAGTCGTCGTCCTCGGTGGTGGACGCCGAGGACGGGGTTCGATGGTGCTGCGAGTATCGCCGCCAGCTGGTGGAGTGATGCTGCGCAGCTGGACCGCCCTCGGACACCTCGTGCATGAGCGCTACCAGCCGGCTGCCGATGTGATGCATCACCTTGGCGATCAGCGGCGGGCTGCTGTGCGGCGTGGAGTTGGCGTCCGAGCTCACGCCGTCGCCGGCCATCTTCGTGAAGCTTTGCACCAGCTTCTGATAGACGAAAGCGGTGTCTCTGCCGAGGCAGGGCGCGGGCTGCATCGCGGCGCTCAATCCGTGTCCCTTGATCTGTTCCCGCTCCTTGTCGAGCAGAATCGCGTCGCCGCTGGAAGTGGTGTCGAATTTGCTGATAATCTGCTGGCAGCTCTGCGAGATCTGCTCCTGCAGGGCCGATCGGCGACCACCGGCGGCGCCCTCGAGATCGGAACTCGTGTAATCCGAGCTGTCGTAAGAATCCGACCACGTGTCCTCCGAGCTCAGATACTCGACGATCTCTCGCACTTGCTCGTCGCGAATCCCCGGCACCGTCTTCATCAGTCGCGTCAGCTCGTTTTCGAAGTAAACCAACTGCGGCGGCTTCGTGCGATTCTGTTGAGCGCAGAGCCGCGCTTTCGAGGCGTAGCCCGGAAGTCGCGGGCTCGGTGCCGGCGAGGCGCCGCTCGAAGTCGCGGTTGCGGCGTTCTGTCCTTGGCCTTGACCGTTCGTGTTGGCCACCATCGTCTTGAAGAACTGCCGCATCTTCGACATCATGAGATTCGTTTCCTCGTCGCTCGACCAGTTGTTGAAGCTGTCCTTGCGCGACAGTGAAGCGTTCGCCAGATGCGGCAGGCTCGTGTGATTCACCGGATGCTTCGTCACGTTGTTCCTTTCCGCGCCCGCGGCTCCTTCGCCGGCGGCGCTCTGGCCCGCGTCCTGCGGGTGCTCCGAAATTTTGTTCAGCGTGCGATCCTTGCCGGCATCCTGATGCTCAGCCTCGACGCCGCCACTCGTTTGGCCCTCGTCCGGCAGTTTTTGATGCTGAAGAAGGTCGTCGCAGCTGCCAACGAAGCCCGAATCTCGCGACTGCTGCTTCGATCGCTGCGTGTCGTTCGAATTCGCCGAAACCGAGCTTCTTGATGGATCTATCTGCGAGCCCGAAGTGTTGGATGTGTTATTGCTGTTGGTCAGCGTGGACGGCGACGAAGACGAAGACAGAACTAGCTCCGGCTGCGGAGTTTTCGCTCTGTCCGAATCCTCGGAGTTCAACGCTTCGTTGTCGTTCTCCATCACAACCTCGTTCATCAGTGCCATCTCTCTGCTCGGTTCCGGCGTCTTGTTCCGATCGTCCGGCACGCGCGGACTCTGAGTGCCGAGATTCCGCGGCTTCTTCTTCTTCCGCTTCACCGTGTCGAACTGACCGTCCGTGCCGAAAGCGGCGGTTTGGCCGTCCTCGGTGCCATCGGTCTCCGTCGACGAGCCTTCCGACTGAGTCTCCTGCGCGTCCTGATTCAGGCTCAGATCCTGAAGAGAATTTTGCGAGCTGAGATTCTGCGAGCTCTGCGTGAGAGCCAGCAGATTGTCCAGGGACGAGCTGTGCGATCTGCCCGTACCTCTTGCGCGCACTAGTTTCTTCCTCCTTTGCGCCTCCGGGCTGGGTCTACCCTCCGAATCGCTGCCCACCGAGCCGTCGGAGTCCCTTCTGTCCTGATCGAAGCCGAGGAACTCGGATAAATAATACTTTTCCAATCTGGAAGAATTGAGAAAACCGTCGCTGGTGTTGGATCTGTCCTGACTCTGATTGCCGCCGTTCGCCTCGTCTTGCCCCAGCGATTCCAGCCCTTCGGAATAAATCGACGAGGTCTCCGACAAGCTGTCGACTTCGCGCGAGCCCATGCTGGAGCTGTTGCCGTCGCCGCCCAGTCCGAAGAAAAAGTACTTCTCGAGCTCCGATGCGGAAGGCGGCCGCGGCTTCTTCGACGGACTTCCCGCGGCCAGACTCGGCTCCGTCTCGCTCTCCTCGCACGACTCCTCGACGATGGTGTGCAGGGTGAAGTCGATCGCCTGTCGGCGGTAGCCCCTCAGCTCCTCCTCGCGATCGCCAAAATTATTCGCCTCATCCTCGGAGCTCTCCTCCGTCGCGGTGGTCGCGCCCGGCTCGTCTTCGTCGTGCGACACTTCCTCCACCCAGGAATCATCGTCCGCCAAGCCCTCCTCGAGTATGATAACCCCGCTGGCGGCCGAATTATCGTCGCTCGACTGCGACGAGGTGCACGGGCGCGCGCTCTCGCGATAATCCGACGCGGAACGATCCTTCGACGCGTCATCCGCGCTCTCCTGTCGGCCACTCAGCGGCTTCGGCACGTTCTTCACGGACACGTCGTCGCTTTCACTGGCACTGCCGACGCTCAAACCACTGTCCGCCTCGAGCTCACTCGACTGATGACTCGTCGCGGTGGCGGACACAGCCGCGACCGCGGCCGGCAGCCTCTTCACCATCAGCGGCTTGCGCGGCGCGTTCTTGCGATGAAGCTGCGGCTCGCTCGCCGCCTCCAGCGCCAGCTGGAAGTAGCCGGCCAGGCCGCCCTGGCCGCCGGCCGAGTGGATTTCATCCGGCTGCAGCAGCGTCGTCGTGTCCGACGTGACGACGCTCACCGGCTGATACGACGCCTCCTGGGTGATCATCACGAGGCTCCTGTACTTGTTACTGCCGCTGGCGTTGCCGCTGCTGCCGCCGCTGCTGCTGTTGTTGTTGTTGTTGTTGTGCTGAGCTGAGTCTCTGGCGAGATCCTTGGCCGACGCTTGGCTGTCAGCGGGGAATCCATTCTCCTGCCGAGTGCACGGGCGTCGCTCGACTGAGCGAAACCGTGTCGTGCTCCCCTCTTCCAAGCTCTCACCAACACCGTCGCAATTGTTGCCGTCGCTATTTCCTCCCACCTGAGCGGCGATCTCGCCTCTCACCGGGCCGTCATGCGCACTGTCCACCTCGGCATCGTCGCCGTCCTGCTCCTCCGCGCTCCTCGGTATCTCCTGGATCTTGCTGCTGGATATCGCATCGCCTACGTCGGCTCCTGCCCGCTTCTCGCCCGCCACCAGGTCGTTGTCTCCCGCACCGCCATCTTGCCGACGACACGTAACGGACCGATAACCCTCGTCGTCGTCGTCCTCGTCGTCGCCGTCGTTGTCCTTCGCGCCGATCGTCGAGTCGATCGTCGCCGAATTGCCCGGCGACCGCCCGCCGATCGATCTCTCCGACTGAACGCTCCGTTTCGCGCCGTTCCTCGTCGGACTTCTATCGTCGCGATCGCCGTGAACATCGTAACCGTTCTCGTTGATGTTTTCCTTCATATTTTCCGTCTTTTTCCTGCCGATTTGGTAGAGCAATTCGCCGTTGATCGCCGCGACCTCGTTGCCGTAATTGTAGAAGGACTCGGCCGAGTTCACCTCGTATTCGTGAAGCTCATCGCTGCTCACCTCGCTTCCCGTGGTGTTGCTCTCGTTGCTCGCGCAGCTGTCGGTCGACGCATCGGCGATTACATCGCCGTTCGAATGATTTACCGACGATAAACGCGGCTTATCTCTCTGCCTGTCGCAATCATTCGTTATGCTCGATCGCGCGGTCTGCTCGTTATCGGAATTTCGAAATCCATCTTGGCTGTCGGCGACGTCGTCTTCGGGAATAATACCGGATATTTCGAGGGAATCCGGAACGATGGTGGGGTCCCACGTGTCGCTCGAAGGCGATTTTGGCTCCATCAGATTTTCCTGCAAAATTTCCTGCGACTTGGCCGTCGTTTCCTGCGCCGAGTAAGCCCGTATTTTCGAAATTGCTCTCCCGTCCGTCTTCAAGATGGGCGGATCGATACTGTCGGGATCCAACATTCTGATAGATTTCAGCTCAATACGATTGTCGGAACAATCATTATCGTCCGCAATTTCCTCGGGAATCAATCGACGTTGTAGCAGAAGAGTCAGTCGTTTGTCAGCGTTCATAATGCCGTCCTTTCTGCTGCGATTTTTTTGCTTGCCGCTCGAATTATCGGCCGGCACGGCGAGTGATTTATCATTCTCTTCACGGTTTCGTTCGTTCTCCACGAGAGCGTCCTCATTTAGCAGCCGCACGTGCTGCAACACCACCGGTTCCTCCTCGGGGATCGCAGTCACGCGTTTCAGAGTCACGCCGCCTTCCGCCGCGGAATCCGAATCGTCCTCCTCGTTGTCCTCGATGTCGTTGTCGCTGGTGAGCGAATCGTCGTTCACCACGAACACCCGAGAGAACCTGTGCGTGCTGGAGTCCTCCTCCAGATCGCTGCTGTCCGCCGAAGATCTCCCGGAAGAGCTGCCCGAATCCTCTCGCGGATGCTGAAACATCCCTTGCGCGCTTCTCTCGAAGGACGATGACAAGGAATCTTCGCAAGCCGCCTCTTTGTTCCCTTCAATCTCTCCCTTCTTGCAGTTCACTTCGACATTCTCTTCCGGTCTCGTTCTATTCTTCGCAGCGGAGAAACCAGACTCGCTGGTATCCTTCGGCAAATTCTCTTCGGCCTTCGACACGATCTTCGCTTCGTCTCTCACATCTTGACTCATCTGAGGCGATTCGAGATGCGTCGACGGAATCGTCCCCGTTTCGGCGATCGGACCGTACAGTCTCGGCGTTATCACCTGGTCCGACGGACGGAAGGTGCAGGTGGCCGGGTCGAAGGTGTCAACGAGCCGGGGATCGAGACGCGCGCCATGAAGCGGCTGATTGAAGCGAGGGTGCCAAGCGAACCAAGGCGCCGCCGGATCGCCGCGTAATCTCAAAGTACCCGGCTCGGCGTGGCCGTCGCCGCGGCTTATCATGGATGATGCGGCCGCTGCGAAATCGCCGGTCCACAGAGAGGCTGGCACCGGCACCGGATACGGAACCGGGACCGGTATAGGCACCGGCACCGGAAGCACGTTCGCGCTTCGAGAACCGCCGCAAGCCTGGATATGGAACGATAGAATAATGGCTCATCTCAGAGCTCTAGCCTCAATTTTTTGTTTCGCGTCTTCTTATTATTATATTTCTCGTGGATTTTTCATTTATCTTTCATCAAAGAAATATTAGATTATAATTAGCTTCGCATAATTTAATTCAAATTTATTTCTTTCTTTATTTAATATAATTCCGAATTGTGAAAGAATGTAGGTATTGCTAAAACGAATAATCAAGATTTTAATTAATAAATATTGTTTGAAAACTAAATTTAGAATTAAATATTTGATTTCTTTCATGAAAAAGGCCTTCTATTTATAGAAACTGGAAGTAGAAATGGGTTAACGATTCGAAAGTCATCGATAACAATTCGTTATGCAGCGTCTATCGATCGGCGTAATCAGCATGAGGCGTCGCTCGATATACGAGTCCGCGCGTACGGTTTATTGACAAAGTGTGACCGTGAATTCCACATAGTTGCCGTGTGACTCTCTTCGCTAGTAGAACGTGAATGATTAATTTAGCTGTGGCAATGTGTTTGTCAAACGGATGCACAGCGAGCGGCACCGAGTCGCGGTCACCAGTTGTGTTCATGTCCAATTTTTTTTTCAACGCGCATAATATCAATCCTTTTATTTATTTATTTATAAAATTCCGTAATAAACTCCGTAAATAAATGCATGAAAATTGATCTTAATTCACGATTTACGTTCAGTAAAATCACACAATACAATTTTTTTTAATCAATTAAAGATAACAAATTATAGAACAATAAAAATTATTCGCTCTGAAAATTATAAATCGCATACATTATGCCTATAAAAGAGCATTAAACGTTAATAAAAATGCTAAATATATTTTTGTGAATCTGTTACATTTAAATTTTCAATTTAGAAAAAAAGTGTACTCATAATTGTAATGTTAATTCTCTTAATTCTCAGCTTTATTTAAATAGCACTCCAAATTTAACGCTTTGGCTCCTTCAAGCATATTGTATACGTGACATACATAATAATAATGAGAGAAAATCGGACTAACCTGGCAAGCTGCAGAACCGCGCCCCGGACAGCAGCTCCAAACGTCCTGGCCGACGTTGACGCCGCTTACGTCTGCGCCGGCGACGTTGACACCGACGCTGGCGATCGGCGTCGTTGGCAGCGGCAGCGATCCGCTTTCGAAGTAATCCCAGTCGCAGTCCTCGAGCGACTGCGCGTAGTGATGATGGTGGCCGCCGTTGCGCGGTAGTCCGTTCAGGTAGGACGAGCTCGAACAACTGCTGTCGGCGTCGTCTTCCTCGCGGCCGGACGACGAGTCCGAGCTGATGAACACCAGCCGTCTGTAGTCCACCACGGATGCCGGTTGATCCTGACCTTGGCTACCTGACGCGGCGTTAGGACTGCGCTGCCGGCCGCTTCCACCCCCGCGCCCGATCAGGTTCAACGTTTGCAGGCTCTGCAGATCCTCGCCGGAGCAGCAGGACCTCGCGTGCGATCTCCCGCGTCGTCGTGAACCTTTTTCAACAATCACGTGACACGTTTCGTTCGCGATTCACTTGTCGCATCTATTCTGGGCGATTCAACGAGGGAGCGATAAGATCGCGAGGATGAGATAAACGACGGAATTTTCCGATAAGCTCAATTTACTAACACGATTGAGACGCCAGTAGCTGTTATCGTCTTCATCGATTTAGCTTTAGTGTTCTAAGAATTGATACAAAAAAGCGGCATAAATAAAATTCTCAGAAATATAATGCAGTTTGCACTTTGTAATATTAATTCATTTTAAATCTCTCGAGTTTAACGGAAGTCATTAATTTTTTACGATTTCTTATTGATAAGAGAATTTTTTTTTTTATTTATGCACAAGAATATTCAGCTATTAATTTCATTCATGTATTAAAACACAAAAATATTTCTATAATAAAACTTTATATCTAATTGCACATGTTGAAAATTTTTCTACCGCGTCAGTCCTAAGTGTTGTTATTGCAAAGATGTTTATCGTGATCTTTGGCACAAATAAATGAGAAAAGATAACAGCAAGCAATATAGTGCCATCAATATAAAAATTAAGCTGTTTCCAAGTGGCTCAGAAATATATACGAATTCTTTGGCTAACTTTATAAAAAAAAAACAGAAAAGTTCGAGAGAAATATGAGAAGTAATTTCGAACTATCCTGTAAAAGGTAGCAACGAACCTATATAATAAAGAGATTAAATAAAGAGGACTATACGAGGCTGCAGCCGCATGCTGGATCCAATAAAGATCCGGGCGGGTTGACAGCGCGGAGAACGCGGCTGCGCTATAACGGAGCGCATCCCTTGCAGAGTCGCGTTTACGCCGGAGGCGAAGGACAAATTACGACGTTGTTAGGAGCCCAGCGGTTGAACGCGCACGAAAAGTTCACGCTAATGTTTCCTCCCGGCTCGGAACTAAACTCCTGAATCTTACGAGCGCGCTCGCTCGCGCACGGCACTAACGAACCGTTTGGTGCGTTCCGACTTTTGATGATTATAGCTAGAAGGCACGATAGCGCACTGATTCGTAGACTCGCTCTCGATCGGCTTGATTAGCCGTCGCGATATGTTGTTGATATCGCCGAATCCATTAAAAATTCACATTTTCTATTTTATTATTATATCAAATGTGTTTAAACATGCGCGGGATGTCATATGGATGCTAGAATACCAACAGTTTAATAAAATAATAACTAAAAGGTGCTGATTTCGGAATTACTCATTCAATCGATATAATTTCCCACTTGTTATTGAAAGAGGATGCAACGAGAAATGCTGATGCACGCGCGAAGGAAAGCATCCTCGACTATTAGCAGTATAGCAATAGTGATGACGATAGGATGGGTGGTATGATAATGAGCGGCGTAGCGCATAGACTCGCGCGCGTAGACTCTTTGTTGCTTCGCTCACGCGTGCGTCAGCGGCACGTAGGAGGATTGGATTTATATCCATTGTGCAGTGCGAAACAATGCACTTTTAACGCGCGCGGGCGCGCATTGCGGCGTCTAAATCTCTGCTTGGTCACGTCACACCGCCTTGGTTCTGTCCGCCTCCCTCCGGTTCCTTTCCACCGTATAACTACGCGCGTGAGATAAATTACATCCTTCGCGAGTGCGCGAGTCCATTTTACAGCTGCTTCTACAAACTAAATCCCGATAACGCGTTTTCGCGAAACTTCCAACGGTCCTCGCGAAACGGTCCTTTCCTAAAATCTCCTTCCTCGATTCTTTAATCTTTTAATTTATTTCTCTTTCGATAAAAAAAAAGGAATATATCGTTTCCTCGATACGCACACTTTATTATCATACTCGAAACATGGCAAAATTTTTGATATAAAATTTTCTCCGTGCAGATACATAAAGCTTTCCTACTGTGATTAAGCGTCAAAGATTTATGCGTGTTTGATCTCAGATTAGTAGTTTGTTAGATAATTCATATTTTCCTAAGATCGCTATCGCCGTTATTAAAGTCCCCATTTCATTGTCTGAGCCCTAAGCTACTTCTCGCGCTGATACGCGATAAGAAACGGAGCGCAGTCAAGTGTCGCGGCGATTCATCGTGAATGAATAGTGGAAGAGACACGAGAGGGGAGGAAGAGAGGGCAAAAATCGGGGCCTGCTTCCTTGGCGCGCTTTATGTCCGCTTTTTACGCGCTGCTGAATTACCTGGTCAATGGCACGAGGGGGACCCGTGGTTTCTGCACGTGTATGATTTTTCCGCGGGCCTCTCTCGCGCCGTTGCTACCAACCGGGGTCTCTCTGACTGTTCTCGTGAATGGCGTCGCTCGAGGAAGGCAAGAAGAAAAGAGAGACGGAAAAAGCGAACCGGACGAAAGAGAGATCGTCGACTCCCAATAGACTGTGCTTGAAGCGAGAATCGTGGAAACCGTGACCGAGCCATTAACGAAGGGTAAGATAGGTATCAGAGGGTTCAGGTAAAATGACGTCAACGATGATAAGAATCGAAAGGCCAACGAGCCCATAATTTTCTTTCTAAGAAACAATAAATATAAGATATAAAAGAAATCTGGAATGAGTCTTGAAAATTGTGGTCTCCTTTCATTCTTATGCTAAAGCCTGCATTTGTCAGTGCTAGAATTAGGTAACTCGTAACTCGTGAAATCTACTTAGTTGTACCTGATACATGTGAGTCTACAAATTGTGGACTTAGCTTATCAAAGTCTGCAATCGTCAGTCATTATAGAATGAGGCAAGTCCACAATTTGCCTGATCCACTTTAGATATAAGAGCACATTTTACTTTAGATACGAACATAGGCTATTAAAATACTGAAAAAAAGTGTAAGACTAATTTAATTCATTTGAAAAAATCGAAACCTTTCGTTGGAAAAATTTCGATTTTTTATTTTGTGATATCAAAATTTATTCGATAGCAAAAAGATGGATTAAAACTAACTTTTTTATAATTTTAGTATATTGTATATTTAATTTATTGATTTTTAAGGGGCAAACTGAGACAATTAATTTTTGAAATGCGTACGAGTATCTGCGATTCGCGACGCACACTTGATTGATTACAACTCTATGAAAATGCATGCGATGTCAAGGAGAAAGCATGGCATTGTAAAAACGCTCTATATCTTCTAACTTAATTTTGCACATGTACGAGATTTGTTTCATACAAATTCGCATAATATTTATTCACATTTTTCTCAATTTCTTTATCGTGTATGATTTATGTATTGTGTGTGATTTATGGAATTTTAGAATCATCTTCAAATCTGGGAAACAATTATTTTAATTTAATTTAATCTATTCTTATTGAATTTCTGGCAAATTAATTATAAATTAAGCATTCACACATTAATTTACACAAGATATTACTCAAAAATATTAAAATCTCCGAAATATTAAATTTTGTACAATACAGGAATACAGAGTTTGCATAAATTATTCTTTACGTTAACCTTGATATTAAATATTTTAATAATTAAATTTTTAATCAAAATTTCATTAAAATAAAGCTCAGATAAAATTAAGGAATTTAAAAATAAAATTAATTTATCAAGACACCAAATTTAATTTTTGAGTAAAACTGAGTATAACTCTTCCTCGCAAAAATTCATTAAGGAAAATATTTTTCTTTCAAATGTGAATACCTTACAAAGCATTTTGTTCAAGGTTTTTGACGTTATCTGTCAATATCCCGTAATAACAATGTCAACAATGAGCAGCAATGTTGTCGGCGTTTAGAAATGTAAAACAGCAGATTCTACCTCAAGGTTTTTATAGCAATTCAGTCTTTTTGTCATTCTTGACACGACGGTGCTTGATTGTTATGCACAAACACGTACACACATATATTTGGGCACATAAATCATACACTTCGTAGACTTAAAAAAATTTTCAAGAATGAACTAAAAAAAATTTAATAAATTTCGAAAAATTTAATAAATTTCGAAAAATTTCTCATCTTTTCGCAACACTAATTTTTTTTTACAGCACCGAGAGAAATGAGCATGTCAAAAATATGATTCTGAAGGGGACAAGGTGCGTTGAAAGTTATGCAAGAAATTTTTTGCCGGCATCGTTATTTCAGACCAAAGTAGACATACTAAATGTATCACCTTTTCTTCAACTACTCTATCCAGGAAAAAATTCACTTATGTTAATAAAGATGTATGTACCTTCTTTTATCAAGTTAGATAGGTTCTTTTATTGATTATCCGGATATATTCGCGTAAAAGCCGATTTGCGAAGGTTCGATGCGTCCGACTGTTACTTTCAAACGCCGGACAAATCGAGGAAGCCGGCGACGCGGGGAAATTAGTTCCTTCGACTGGTTTCTCGTCGCAAAATAAAGGCGGCTTTAGCCGCCACGCCAAGGCGAAGAAGGCGAGGCGAGCGATTCGCGTGGGCTACTGCCGCTAAACTGAGAGCGTCTACGCCGAGGGGCACACCTGAATCCCGCAGCGTCGGTCACTACCTTACTACGATGTCTATAGTACCCCGGCGCTATAGTGCATTGCGCTGTGCTATACCGGGTGGTCAGCTTGGCAGACTGACCTGCCGACTTTAATGCCCTTTCTCCCATTTTCAATCCTACCTTAACAAAAAAAATTAAAAACCCTATTTCGTCGAAAAAAGAATTCACAACTGAGACGCTAAGAACGTTAGATTCGATAAACCTATCTCGAGAAATCTGTATTTAAATTTTAATCATAAAAAAAACACCATAAATTCTTAATGATCCATAAAATTAATTTAAACATTCAATAGATTTTTTTTTTTTTTTAAATAACAATTACAATGTAATTGTGTCAAAAAGAATCCTTGGCACGAAAATTGAGAAATCAGAGCTGTTTTGTAGTCCGATAGCTGTTTTATAGTCGACTGTGATGTTTCGAAGTTTTAACTTCTTTTATTATTCACCGTTTGTCGCGCGGATCCCTGAGAATTTTACGTCACCCCGTATACCTGCGGCGCAGGTGAGCGGACTATAGAACGCCAGCAGGGAACGTTGTTACACTATTATTCCTATGCTGTTTCCCTGAGCCCCGCTTCGCTTCGCCTCACCTGCTGCCCACCGCTTCGCCCGCCGTCGCGCCACGTACGGATGATTCCGTGCCAAAACGATCATACTCGGGCAAGAATGAACTGTAGAAATGGGCAGATAGAAGTTTTATTCGAAATCTGGGACGAGCACCTTGAGGAATTCGCGAATAAGCCACGCTCGAAGCGCAATGATAACAAGGTGCTATAAATTTGAAACGCAAAGAAGATAAACTCTACAAATTTGCGAACAGCTACTGGTGTTTAAATACCATAAACGACGAATATGATTAAAAAAAAACGAGTAGTGGATGAAATATTTTAATACCAATTCATATAATTTACTACTGTTCTAATTAACTTTTTTTAAAATAAATTAAGCATACCTTTTTTCTATCTCCTACTTTATCTTTAAAAAAGGTCTCGAGAATTGCGAAAAAAGTATTATCATATATTCTGTTATTAATCACTTCTGGTCCACAGCAAGTACAAAATTACGATAATTCCGACGTAGAAGACGAGAAAATACATCGAGAGCAGAAATGTGATTGACAGTTGAAATAATCTTTGCATTTCCATTTTTGCTGAATATATACGTTTCTTTCGGATGCACTGTGTACGAGTTTAGAAAATTAATCGATCTCCAAGATTTGCAGATTTCACGATTGTCTCAGATTTTACGGTTATTTCTCGATATCGTGCAAAACTAAAACAAATGTGCTTAGGTCACGAAAACCGACGATGATTCAGAATATGCATATTAAGCATTTCATGCACTATTAAACACCAATTGCATTCCTTTCACATTCTATCAAATCTCTCGTGACGAGCAAAATACGACGAGATTAAGGATAATTTTTGTTTTAATATTTCTGCTCCATTGAAACTTGATGCATGATTGTAGACTGACAAAATGCAGGAATTTTATCGCAAAATCATAAGAGAAAAATTGTTGTAAAAGTTAAGCAAAACCTATCGATTTCTTACTCAACATATTACTTCGTAAAATTTTTGATTAATTTTTTAAAAAATAAATAATAAAAATTAGTTAAAATGCTTCCCCGACGCTTTATTAATTATTCTCTCTCGCTACTATCATTTTCCTTTGCATTAGCATATTCATTCGACGTTGCGCTAATTAAGATTTAATTTTATGACCAGATTTCATTGTATTCTACACTTTCTACTTTATTTCAGTTGTAACACAACTTTACTGCCCTCGAGTCCAACATCGAGCCGGAAACGGATGTATCGTCACACGGTTCGAATACGTTTTTCGACTTTCGGAACGTCGACGGTTCGCACGGCTCACTTAGAGAATACTGACTGCTTTCGAATCAGGAAGTTTGCCAGGGGTTTCGATAATCAATGAGCTTATCGTTACGGGGAGCCATATGGCGTTCTTTTTTATTCTATGCACGCATATATGTCATGTCAAATATACATGGTGATCGATTTATTACGTACAATAATTACGCGAATGAGTACTTGTACTAATAAATTTCTGACAGATAAAAGTATTTTTACCAACACAAGTTTGCGAAATAAATATGTCTCAAGTTATTATTCAAAACAGATTGATTATGTTCGTCCAATAAAAATTTTTATCAAAATAAGAAATTAACATCACATTGTGTAAAACTTTTATAAATAATTTTACAAGTATTGATTAATCTGAATGTTTGCTATATATATTGCAAAATGAGTTCAAGGTTGGATATACAAAGAAAGTTTGCTTTTGCCTCATTGGAAAAGAAAGTTTTGCAAGTTTTCGCGGTCGATTACAAACAATTGTCGTAATAAAAATGTAAACACACGTCGGAAAATTAATTGGGAGTCACGGGAGCACGCGATTAGGCAATTATGGCAATTATTGGCAGCCAGTATTGGCAGATACACAATCGAGAAAGCGAAACGATACTTGTTACCGTACGATATAATTGCACTGTTTGCAATTGCTTATTATAGTTGCAGCTTTTGAGAACGCGAATAAAACAAACAAATGCAAATGAACGAATTAGGAAAAAGAAACAGAATCAAATTTTTTTTTTAATTGTAATGATCGTTGAAATATTTATACTCTCATAATTTGAGAAATTTAATCTATTAATTGAATTGAATTTTCTTCTAAATTTCATGTTTTATTAATTTCTAATTCGCTCCACAATTCTTTGTTCCATAATTATAATTGTATCAAAATTGTACTACTATCGTAATTATTAAATACTTGTAATTACCTTGAGCGTCGAACTGCCTTCTCCGTCGTAGCATCGTTCTTCCCTGAGAAGGAACCGGTCCCGTTCTATCGTGATCTTCGTTAGCTTCATCTTCGCCCGCACTGGTTGCACTGTCGCGTTGCACCACTTCGTCGCCACCGATTGCCGAAGAAATCGCGCCGCTTCCATTTCCCCCGAAGAATTTTACTTTTCTGGCCAACTCCACGTATCCGTGTAAGCCAGTTTCGCTCAATCTAGACGACAGACGGAAAATAAGATCTAATTTAAAAAATTTCTACGTGGAAAAATAATTTAAATTTTCATCCCATGTAATTTGATCTTTAAAGAAATTGTGCTTTTTCTTTAAAAAGTCAGAAAAATGCATTGCAAAATGCGCTTTTCTGTAATATTGAAAGGCACTTTTTATTTTAGCAAAGAGATTATTTAATCAAGAAATATAATAGAAGAGCATTAAGAGCCGTCGCAGGATGTTAGTGCTAAATTTTTAATTTTTTTTAAAGAAATTAATAAATTAGTCCACAAGAGACAGTTAAATTGTACACCGATCTCAGATCGAGATACCTAAAGTGTACGAAATTTTAAGTACATTGTTCTCATATATCGAGAAACTTAATGTACATATAGGAATTATTGGAAAGAAAGATTATTTAATCTATCGAAGTGAATCTCTTTTGCAGCACCTGACACTCTCGCTGCCGCTGCTTTCGTATCTGGCGCTGCTGTTGGATTCTCTTCTGGTCCTCGTTATAGTGTCGCGTATCCTCTGGGACGCAGAACAGGAGTCTCCTCCGGTCTTACGCGGCAATGCTGGAGTAGGTTCGCTCTCACTCTCCCGAGGACTGTATCTCGATGATCTTGTGCTCAATGGACTGGCTTCCGGCGACAGGTGCTTTTGATAAAAACAAAAAGTCAATAAGCAATTCTTTATAAAACTTTGATTTTCCGAATAATGTAATATAAAATAGATATGCGAAAAAATATAATAAAAGCAATATTAATAATATACATAATAAAAAAACTTTATAAACTAAGGATTTTGAAGAGAGCAGGAGTCACGATTTAGTGCTATTAAAAATTGTAATGAATGTTCTATCAAAAGTTTTTGAGAAAGAAAATTTAAAATATTTTTATGGATATTATTGATAGATTAAAATTTCTTTGTAATTAAATAAAAACTTACGCTTGAACAACGCTTATTCGGAGTGTCATCGGTGTCGTCCGGATTCGAAAATTCTTCTTTAGAGAACTTTCGCCGAATCTGCTTAGGAAACAATATGCGCATAAGTCATACTTAGTTAGTCTTGGCATATTAACGGAATAATCATGAATATTAATAAATAATAAAATTAAAAGTGCAAGAACCTTCTACCTCTCCCTGTCTTTCCCCCCTTTCTTTCTCACTCTTTCTCTCGAGAAGCGACTCATAAATGTGTAATCGGCACTTGCACGTGAATAACTGCTGTTTCCCAGATAATTAGTATTAATTATTATTCGCCATTCCTTGCATAAGCGACGTAATAATAATAATTGTACCCTTTGTTTTCTACAAAAATAGAAAACTTTGAGAAAATAATTTAGAAAAAAATTTACACAAAATAAAATAAAATAAATTTTCAATATATAAAAATGCGTGTGAAAGTTTAAAAAGAATTTTGTACACGATATTTTACACTAGTAAAATAAATTTTCTCAAAATTAATGTAAGAATGTTTAAAATTTCAATAATCTTTTTCATTTGTCGTTTGACAAACTCGTCTAATTAAATTCTCTTTTACACCTCCGGATTATTATTAATGAGAGCGAAATATCACAATACATACTTAATCGAACAGAGAGGGCTCACGTTTCGCAAAGAATGTCGATAACACCTTCACGCATCCATCCGCACACGCACACAACTACGCCCGCGTAAATTACGCCCACACGCTGCAAACAATTCACAAGCATATTCACTGACCACTTGGAACTCGTCCGGTTTCTTCCCATAACCGATCTCCAGCGGGCCTTTTCTCTCGCCGGCAATACCAGTGACGTCACCGTCGCTGCCAACGTCCAACAATCGTTCACCGGTCTCCTCCTCGTCGTTGTCTCGTCCCTTATCGTTCTCCGAGACGGACCCGACCGTCTCTCGGGTCGCCAGCAAATGCTTCTCGTCTATCATCTCCTCGCCTACAACCATCGTATTCCGCATCCGCTCGTTCTGCGTCCTGTTCTCCGCGACGATCACGTCGAGCATCCTCGCCTCCTGGTTCTCCACATCGGCCTTCCCGTTCTGTCGCGAGTCTAGTATCACTTCGTTCTGTTCGATCCAAGCGATCGCCTCCTCGCTCCTCAAAGACGGTCCTTCGACGTCAATAGCGTCGTCCTTGTCGTCTTCGCACCTCGACTTACTTTGATCGCCGACGACTTTCGATTTTGCTACGCCGGCCACGCCTTCCGTTTTTCTTGCCTATCCTGCTGCTTTCCCTTCGCGGACTCCTTGATCGAATTCGAGGCCTCTCCACCCACGTCCTCGCGACTATTGTCGCGACGAAAGATTCTTATTCCCAACTTGCCGATTTCGTCCTTGCTGGCGGACGTTGGTGAAGCAATAAGCGACGAGGGCTTGACCTCTTCTTTAGAATCTTTTCGCGCGGATTTTGACACGTGACGGATATCGTCCTTGCTATCCTGCCGTTTCAATCGGTCCTCTTTGTTGCGAGGGGATAGCAGCTTCGGGATCAAACTCGGCACGCTTATATCCTCGCGACTGCGGCGCAGATCGTCGGTGCTTCCTCTGTATCTGCAGCATAATAAAAGAGAGATCGGTGATAAATTATTTATATATTGAAAAATTTTTATTAATAATTTATAATCTTTATAAACATCATGAAGTGATTTAATAAAGACTATAAGCTTTCAATGTAATATTATATAAACCATAATATATGAGATTTATTTCAAGAATAAATTTTTTTATAAAATAAGAACTATTATTATCACACACATTATACGTAAAATCCTTTTTAATGAAACTTTGCATATGCTATGTTGATAAAAAGAATGATAACATCACAGTACAAGAACCGTATATTTTAAGAAAATCCGGTTCAGCCACAGGAATAAGAAAAAAATTATACCTCTGAGGAATAAGCGATCGCTTAGGTGACTCTTGTGGGCTCCGGATATCCTCGAATTCCTTGGAGCTTCTTCGGAAAATCGGAATATTAGACTTCCTCTCGCCATGCTTCGGACTCGATTTTGTCTCAGGCGATATAAACTTCGCGAGGATCCTCGGTGGTTTTATTAGTGAGATTCTCGGTGTACTATGTTCCTGTGCAGGATCTTCCTGCTCCTTGCTCAATCGTTCTCCTTTCTTGCTAAATTTTACGATGTCTGGTAATGGCACTTCCTCTTCTGATTTACTAATCGATTTTTCTCGTTTCGTTCGTTCGTTAATCGATGTGTTCTTTTCGTTCGCTTCATTTACATTCTTCGAGCAGTCGCCGGTGTCTTCAACGAAGTCTTTCGTGTTTAAATTGTTTTCTTGTAAATTCTCGAGCTTCGATAACGTTCTATCGTCGAAGTCCTCTTGAAGACCCGAATCTTCCAGCGGCTCTCGATATTCTTGGTGGCGCGAGGGCAGACTGCGATATATTCGCAATTCCGAAGACTTTCTCGCAGCTGACCAACGTGTCGGAGGACCTTTTGGGAAAATAATTAATATCATAAATTCGCTGTCACACAAAATAAGTTTAAAATAATCGGTAAGTTTCAAGGAAGAAATAAATAAGAAATTATTATTATTAATACTAATTTTTAAGGACGTTTTTACTGATATTCATCATCTGTTAATTAGAACTTTTCCTTTTTTTTCAATTTTCTGCTGATTAGAAGATTAATTATCGGAACGTACTGTTAATTGTCCAAGCTCGACGGATGCTGCGATTGAGTGTGTCTGCTGGAGACGGCGATGCTTTTTCGCTGATAGATTCACTTGAAACTGTATTTTCGTACATCCATTTGCCAGTAACAACGTGTAATTCTCTGAAAATTGAACGAGTTCGAAATTAGGTCAACGTGCGAGAAACAAAGGATATATCGCGCGTTGCGGAAGAAGCATACTTTCCATTTTCGACCTGAATTCGTTATCACTGAAATTGCATAAACTTTTACTCACTATCTCGTTTTTATTTTGCTTGTATACATTAATTAATGAAAGTGTTGGTGTAAAATTTAGTTATTGAAATTCATTCAAAAATTTTATAAAATAATTTTGCAAAAAAATGAACAAAACGCGATATTTCTCCGATGCATATATGCAGTAATTATATTTCTAAATAAATACTAATTAACTATTTTCTTTATATGTAATAATAAGAAGATGCATTTTGTGTACGCTGTCGAAAAAATTGGAGCATCTTAAAGTAAGCTTTCCCACCCAGTGAAACTTTGCATATGCTATGTTGAACGAAGATAAAGAAATGATAACAATATCGCAGTGCAAGAAACATGTATTTAAGAAAGTGCCTTAAATGTTACAAATCACAAGCCTAAAATTTTATTTTAGTGAAGCGGAATATTATTTTTTTTATAAATAATGTATTTTATTTTAATTATTGTCACGTTTAGCAAGAAAACTGATACTTAACGTTCAATGCTCCGCGAAAATTTCCGACGAAGAGGCGATCGGTGGATGTTCGTCACGATTTTTAGACACTCACGTGATTTTGTAGCAAACGTTGCAGATCCACTCGACTTCTTTGTCGCCTCCTGCGTGATCCCTGATCTCAATGCGACACTGCCGGCATACCCGCTGTCTGCAGCGCGTGCACGTCGAGCCGGTGTTGTAAAACCTACCGAACGGTGCGCCGCATCGCGCGCATTTGCGTCCTTGGTGCGATAGTTCGCTGCTGCCGCCGCCGCTGGATGCCTTGGATAGCCCCCTTCTTCTCAGGTACTGTAGATCAGCCTTCAGCCTCCTGCGAACACAAAGCCGGATGCAGGAGATCCCGAAGTAGGTACTTTCGTCGGCCTGTGTCACGCCGAACTTCGCCACTTTGCGGAGAAACGCAATCGAGCAGATACATTAACACAAAGTATTGAAGTGTTTCTTAAACAATGCGGTTGCGTTGAATAAAAATATCAAATTCATTTCTAAGTCGCAAAATCGTTTTCACATTAATTTTATTTCTTTCATTATCATTTTTATTCGTATTATTGTGACTCGCCATTAATCTCTCACGATCCCGACGAACAGTTTGATTACGAATCCTTCTTGATTGCTGAATGAAACCGTACAAATTGAACATACCGAAACGTCATTCAAGCGTTAACAATCCTCTCGAGCGCTGCGTTTTACGCGGCTAAGTGCGACGCGTGATTTTATCGCTTGTGCACGTAGTTACGCTTAATTATTGTTTGCTTCCAGCTGAGAGCGCGGGTAATTAACAGCTGTTCGCATATAGATATATCTATATCGATGTGCACGATTATTCATCGAATAGCAGAAAGGAAACGAGTTTACGTGCCGCCGAGACCAGATGTATCCCGATCACCGGCGTTCCTCAACGTCGTCGCCGTGGCGCGCGACTTAATGGCCACGACTTACTCACGCAACTGACGCACGTGACATGCCGTGTTCTCTTCTAGCCATAAACAACCGTTTCATCACACTCGAGCGGTCGAAAAAATCGCGCGCCGCCGCCAGATTTTATTATCCGTCAAGCGCAAACGAGCACGCTGTTAACTACGGCATTAGTGAATTTTTTTGCGTAGGCAGTACACACGTGGATACAGTGTGTTCGATTTGCAAGTTCATGATTCGCGAGAGGAATTTCAATTAATTTTCGTGAACTCTCTTGCTCTATTTTTAACGTATTGGAAACGAAAAAATACTCGGCATAAGTTTTTTTTTTTTAAATAACAGATAAGATATGTTCATCAAATTAATACAAGAATTCGCACAATCCAATTGACGCCTTACGAATGTTTGATAATTATTTATAAATTACTAATCAATTGTGCCAATAGCATTGAATGTTGTAGACACAAAGGTAGTACAATTTGATTTATATCATTATATAATCAGTTTGTCTCAAATGTCATGCAACTGATCACTACAATTATGCAATTAATATGCTAATTTTATACACGGCTAACTGTATTCACAATCCCCGGCGAATGTGTTCGCACAAATTTAAGAACTTTTTACATCATCAAAGCTTACGAACCGGACGGTTGTAATTACGACGATGATGAATTAAATCTCGAGGACGTTCCTTCTCTCTTGTCACCCTTCTCACAATTCAACACTAATGTCGTTGACAATGACTACTTTTTCATTTAGAATATTTACTATAAGCAGTAGTCGAGTAGTTAAATTGCAGCCAACTCGAAAGAGGTAGTCCGCCTTATTTCAGACGCGAGATGAGTTTTCAACGAGCGTTTAATCGACTGGATGATAAATCGCCGTAGGACTTATGGAAAAAAAAAAGAAGAGAATCTTCCGAGAACGGAACGCGACCGTGTCGATTGATTGCCGACGGCGGACAGTGACTCACGGACAGTTGTGTATCTAGGCTCCTTTTGTTATAAAAAGATTCTACGTACCACGCGCGAAAGATTGCTACACCGCGTCGCTCGGTGCCAACAGCGTAGCGCGACTGTGTGTCTCGTAGGTGTTCCACCAGGTACATGCCCGGTTCCCATTCGTTGAGCACGCGAGAAAAATTGCGCTAACGCAATCTGCCGTAAGTTACACGGCCGAGTGACAAAGCGCGACGCTTAATTCCATAATGCTGTCGCGATAAAACGTCTCTGAACATCTTCTTGCCTGTCTCTCTCTATCGTTTCTTATAACCTTTTGTTCTTCCAACTGTAATCTGTTTGGATTGATTTTTATCAATTTTTCATCAAAAGCTTCTAAGTGTTATTTAATATTTATTTTAGTGTATAAATTTTGATTGATTTTTCAAATAAATTTACTTCCTTAAGATATATTCTTGCACGGGCTTGCGTGTCGGAATAATAAGATGCAGTCCGCTCTAGCTGCTCCACTCTTGCTCTTTTCCTTTTTCACCTCATATCAGATACAAACAATGAATCGTGTAAGGGAATAGCGAGACTAGTAGACGAGCGGAATACCAATAAGTGTTGCCGGTCATCCGGCTCAGGAAGGAAATTTCCATACTCGACGATGCAAGTTACTACTTCGCCGAGGTGGATACGCGTGTTTTCATGAATAATTTTATGACACTCGGCAGCTCGCATTAACGCGCGGAGGAATTCAATTTGATGACAAAGAATACCAGACTAAGCCGGCTTCGTTAAAGGAGGGATGCATAATGAAACAGATCAGGACGGCGCAGGGAAGATCGCCGATCGCGTGAATGTACATGCAGCTATGCACTTAGTCGTCCGTGCACTTCCGTCTCCGACAGTCGAGAAAAGTCGAGAACAGTCATTGCGCTCACATCCGGCGATACAATGTCTCAAGATATCGCGATCGAAACATTTTGCTACACATATGCTTATGTATACATACTTCTTTATTACACTTACAGCTGCTCTGATAAGCCAAAGATGTGTGTTTCTCAATATTTCGATATTTTAATGCAAGCCAAAATGTTTCATTTCTTCTGATATTTTGTTTTTTTTTAATTTCTGCAAGCTACAGATTAAAATTTTCCAAACTTTTTGGCTTAAAAGAGAAACAATTTGTGAATTAATAATCTTTTTATCTTCCTAATTTTAATAAAAAATTCTAAGTAAATTTTCTATGCATAATTAAATTATTTACATGTATCTTTTTAAAGTTAGAGTTATAAATCAAGTTGTTATATAATGGAAATTTTTTATCACGAACGTAAATGGAGAAATGAAGGATTTGAGAAAGCGAAGTATTTTTTTCTGTTCGCACTTAAATCCCGCTGAAAAAGCAGACGCGTTCGATTGCGTAAAATATGAGCGCTCTGCATTAATGCGGGATTTAAACGCGAATAGGCGTGCACATCCGGTTGCTCACTACCATTTCTGAAGAATGAGATACGATTAAAGACGAGCCACACTAGCTGAAAGCAATCACGTCGGCGCCAACCTATTTAATTCGCATCAAGGTAAACATTTTTTACGTTTTGCCCAATCGCGTAAATGCAGCAGATCAATCGTTACGTCTAAAAGCAATTTGAGAACCAATTTTCATATTTGAGAACTGTAGATTGAACTCTATGGAGCTTTATTTTATATAGGTTTTAGAATAATAACTCGCATAATTTAATAGATTTCTTTGAATACGTAAATTTTTGGGATCGCACTATTTTGAATTCGATTTTATTTATTTCCAATGACAATACTGTAAATAATTTTTATACCACACAGATTTTTCTATCAACAAAATTCAAGATAAAAATCTATTCATAATTTTACGTAATAGAAAACATTGAAAAAAATTGGAATACAGATATACAAAATATATATCAGGCTATATATTTTATATGCTCTGATTTTGTAATGTTCCCCGCACATGGCTCATAAAATTATAAATAGATTTCCGTTTCCAGCTCTGTTGCAAATTGTAGATCGTCCAAAGCGAGCTGTACTAAATTCACGCAAAATGTGACGAAACAAAGAAATATGTCCCGCAACTTCCACGTTATAGATACGCTATTTCCATAGAATCTTTACTTTTCATAATATTATACCGCTTACTATCCTCTGAATAATTTGCATTTCCCCTAATGTAACTCATGCGATCACTCGATGCATTCACAGTTGCATTCGATGCACTCAACCCAGAAACCACCATAGAGAACCGATGACAGACAGGCTTCGTAACCGAACCAGACGTACCTCTATCACTTTACGGAGCACTTTCGACGTAACCGAGAGATCGACCGTTGTACTGCGACTCACGGATCCAGAAACGTTTGCTCGTAATCCGCACGATTTACGAGGGAATTGAACGAGGGAAATGCGAGTATGGTCGCGCGCGGCACCGCGACCCGGTCGGCCGAGAACACCTCTCGAGAGCTCGGTTCGTCACGATCTCGCCGATCGGCGGCGAGCCCGCCGTCGATGGGGCCCTCGGTACGCTTCGCTTCGCTTCGCCTCGACTCTCTCACCGGGCCCCAGCCAAGCGGGGGCGTGACTGAACGTACATTAGACGACAGCAATGCTTTGTGGTGGACGACGTTTGACTGCATTGGACGCCTAATATGGTCTTTCCTCTCGATTTCGGCCTCGAGCCGGCACACTTGCATTCGGCAACGCGAATTTCCCAGATGTCAAATGATCAGATCTCGAAAGAAAATTTTTCGGCAACGTAGCTAGATATACGTCGAAGACGGTTGCGGCAAAAACTGAGAAAAGGGAGTAAGTGTCGGTAAGAATAATTCAGATTTTGCAACGTGAGAATAATCTATATACATATCTTCGCAATCGCGGAGGAAGCTGCGCGGGAGGACAGATTTATATCGTCTCATTAATCACTAGAATCCCGTTGAGGATGCTGTACCGTAACTGCGCGTCTAATTGCTAATCGAAACGTTTTTCTCCGGAGACCGGAAAGAGTAAATACCTAACGATTTTCTATAAAGAGGTTTATGCGACAACGAATGTCCATTTATCTGACTCGACCGACAAAGATAACATGTTGTATTGACATTTGTAAATACATTATCGATCTATACGTAGAAGCTATATATAGAACGTTCATTTGCAGATATACGTTTGCATGATATTGATTTCTAAATAGGAGCTGCATAGGATAAACAGGAGTTATATAAATAACGAAGTTATATAAAAAAAAAGTTTAAAATCGTTGCTATAGTCGATTAAAAAAAAATAATAATATCGAAACATCATTTTAATTTTATATCTTGGTAATTAATCCTCAAATTATAAATTTGTCCAAGCCAAGGTGAAATTAAATAATGAATAAGATTTTACTGTCCATTAAATTTCGAAAAATTCTACAATTTTG